TGTTTCAAACTCAATCTCCCATGCAATACATCTCATTGCAATTTTGAAAAACTTAATTGGCATAATTATCTGATTTATTCACTCTTCTGGTTCCGATTGCCACTTAATATACATATGGAAACAGAATCTCTGTGAACACAGATGTGGAAGTGACCATCTGAACAAGTAAAGAATCCTGAGAAGAAACAAATATTAGGTCAATATATAGTCCAAACTGTAGAAATTAGAGAGAAGTTCCCTAAAGATGGGCTCCAACACAAATCTGAAAGCTCAGAATACAAAACTTCTGGTCCTGGTGACCAACCCAGATTGGATCCTAGAATATTATCCTGGAACACATATATTCACCTTCATTTGTGTAGAAATTACCTCACAAATTAATGCATTTTGATTTTTAATTGCATTTAAGTAAGGGTAAAGATGTTTCTGAACTACAACTGCTAGAAGCCTGCCTTGGCCAACAGAGATGTAGGAATATTCATAGTTGGGTTTCTCAAACACCAGGAGAACTACTTAGAGAGTGTATTTTCTTCTCCCCACCCCTCAGATGGACTGAACTTTTTTGTACTCTTTCTTGATGCTCATAAAAATCTCATAAGAAATCAGAAACAGAAGCAAGGCTGCAAGCTCACCTGAATGCAACCATATAGGATGAGTGAGAGCAGGAGAAACGTATTACACATAGATTCCTCTCATTACTTGACTTAATTATAAAACCCAGCAAATTAACAAAGGCATCTGTTTTGCAAATGGCCTTATTTATAAATCTGCTGATAATCAAAAACTCTTTAGACCTGTAATTATTTTCATATATTTTTATCCATATTTTCAAACAAACCTTATTTTCAAATTCTCACTATCAATTTTGTGAAATTATAACATTTGAACTCATTATAACTTCGCCTCTTGCAAGATGACATGCAAAGGGGAAACAGAACTCTGTTCCTTGTTCAGGAAACATCTGGCCAACCTTTTAATTCTCACACAGGTCACTGGCCATTTCAAAGCTCATGGAACAGAAAAGGGTGGGAAGACAAAGGTTCATCTCTCTAAGTATCATCACACAGTATACCACTCTGAATCCAAATAGGTTCTGGAAGTGGCTTTTTGCTGATTGAGGGGTCCTTGGTGCTCTCTGAGCTTGGTTGTTTTCTTGCTGAGAAAACAAGTGCCAAAACTAGGTGACATCATCAGTGCATTTTTGCTGATGGCTTTTCTTAGATCAACTTTTAAGCTGTAGCGTATAGATAGAATTGCAAATTTTCAGTGTAAGTACTGAAAATATGCAGTGCCTGTTGAACACTGAATTATTTTGAACACTGAATTAGTTGAACACTGAATTATGAAGCAAATCCAGGCAGAAGAATGGAATGGCTTCCTTTGAGTTTTTAAATAGTCTGTACTTTTCTGGCTGACATAATGATTAGAAAAGAATGCATTTTAAATTAAGAGCTTGTAGTATTTGTAGATTTATGACAACCTTATACACCCACATCCACATGTCTGTCCATTCACCCTCACCAGTGCAATATGCACCAGTGCAATATGCAAGGCCAGAGAAGGAATAATGGATGGAAACTGAACAAAGAGAGATTCAACCTGGAAATAAGGAGAAACTTTCTTACAGTGAGAACAATCAACCAATGGAACAGCTTGCCCTCGGAAGTTGTGGGAGCGCCATCACTTGAGACCTTCATGAAGAGATTGGACTGCCATTTGTCAGAAATGGTGTAGAGTTTCCCATTTGGGTGGGGGGTTGGACCTGATGACCTATAATGTCCCTCCCAACTCTGATTATCTGTTAACCTCTCTTTCCAGTAAATTAGAGTTGCAACCCATTAGACCAAACTCGGCAGATCAGTTGTCTTTGGTGTTCATTGAAACTCAGTTAGCTTCCTGTTTTGGCTGTCTGTCTCAGAAATAGGGTGGAGAGCAAAAAATAGAAATGTTAACTCATACCTGGCAAACTGTATTTATTACATCACTGCAGAAAGGGGCATAAAATCCACCATGCATAAGTTAAATATGATTAACCCAAATCTAATTGATTTTTATGGGTCTACTTTAAGTACGACCAACAGACATACAAATGTAACAAATGCATAGTATATGCAACTACCCATGTGTTATATTACAGGAAATATAGAGGAAGTAAGTTTAATTCCCCTTATCAGGAGATTCCCTCCTTTTTTCCATTCATTTGAAAGCAGAGATTCACATCTGGCCAGTGTATCCCAGGTGGCCAATTGGAGTGCTATGACTGTTTTGTATTTCTATTTCCCTAAAGCTGAGCATTACAGACTCTAGCTGCTTTAAAACTATTTGAAGCAGTCATATTGGCACAGCAGACAAAACTCTTAGTTCCAGCAGAGAAGATGCAGTCTAAGTTTAAGAACACTTATACAAGTCTCTCATTTGTGCCCAACATAGCTTTAAGATTAGAACTGGGAATTACGAAAACAGCGGCCAAAATGTGAATTGTGTGGATTTTTTTTTAAATATCCAGCTAGAATTTATGTTTATCCCAAGAGGGCTAACTCCTCTGATAATCAGGGTTTTTTTTTTCAATTTACAGGGAAAATCTCTTTCAGAAAAAATGGCTTTATATGGTGTCTCTTGGGAGATATTACTCAGGATGGGATATAATAAGACATAAGATGGCACCAAGCCAGCTGACCGTCTGAAATATGCTAGCTAACTCTTGCCAATCTTTAATAATTATGAATATTGAAGAACATAAAAAGTCACTAATGACAGATATTGAAAGATTCTCTCATATGAACACCTCTGCCAGGGGGGCTCTGCAATTTGCCCTTGGTATGACCTTAGATATAGTTGGTATTGCAAGTCCGTGGGATTGACAACCAGGAACATTTTTTACTGACCTTTGCAAATTTGTGGTAATAGCAAAGTTTAGGTATTAATGGAGTAACAGCACTGTCCAATAGTCTCTGACATTTAGGACACTCGGCTTTTTAAAAGTTATATCTACATCTGAAGGGGATACTGTGAGGTTGAACTACAATGGTAACCTGACACATAATTGGCTAGTGCTGGGAATTTGGGATAGATGGGCAGACTACTTGTGACACATTGCTGGATTATATCCCCTGCACCATCTTCCACACTGTTAAATTAAGCTGGTAACTTCTTGTCATGTAAAAGAGCTAGGTTATTCAAATCTGCCCACTGTATAACAGCCTCCCCACTTCTGCCATCATCAGGATACCCCTGATGCCACTGTGACAATTAAAGTGACAAGATTTATTTTATCCTTATTAAATGTATTAAATTCATCATCCTTGATCTCAGTTAATGATGGTTTATATACTGTGACCATACAGTTGCTCAGCTCCAGTTATTATTTTTATGTTGTTTATTTCCGATATTGTTATGAACTGAACCTGGATCCCTGTATTTTAGGTCTTCTCTGAAGATTGCCTCTGAGTCTACACAGGACATCGCAATTATACTTTTGGCACAAGTCCCACAACAGTTCTTTCTTATATGTGGACAAACCCTTGATGTTTACTTAAATAATAGTCATCTGTGATCCTGAAAAGGTCATTTTGGGGATATACATAGTGTCACAGGTGAAAATGAGCATCTCACTATGCTTTGGATGCTTCCGGATTGAAAGAATTAGGCAGCTATAAGCTGTTGTCCAGGAGACGCCCAAATGTGTTTAACAGCACACATTCTTCAGGGAGGCTTCTTTCATGTCCCCCTCTAATTGAAATGCAAAAGACTTTCAGTTTTAATGAGTCTATATGATTTTTGTTGGAGAGAGGCCAGCTTTTTTAATGATTAAATATAACAAAATATCTAAGTAAAACTACCATCTGTTTAACTTTCAAGGAGCTGATTAAACCACACTGCTTAGAAAATATAAGATTAAAAACAGATGACATTCCCACAAAGAGAACAAACTAAGGGCATGCATCAGCGTCAGATGTACTGTATCTAAATTCTACCCTTTCCCACTTAATTTCTGTGAATCATGAAAAAGAAAAATGCCCAGACAAATCTGAAATACTGCCAGATATATTTTGGATACTCTTCCTACCAATACACACAGAAAGACATATACATGCATACGTGTGTGTGTTAGTTTATTTGATTACCCTAGTATTTGCTTTTTACTAAGCAGTTACTCCTTAAATTCATTTTTTTGTACATGATTTTCCTAAATTGCACCACCACCATGTATTAGTTTTAGGCAGGTTTCACAAAACAATATGTGTCTGTATAACTTTCCCAAATATACACTAGTCTATATGATCATTCTTTGTTGAGGACAATGGATAAAAATGTGCTCTATTTATTCCTGCTGTTCTTCCAGGTACACAGGCTCGGGGGAGAGAGTCAATGAAGGCAATGACAAAAGCAGGATTGAAAGTTATTATATAAGCTCTGCACCTTTTGTAAGTGTGTTATGAAGTTGCACAGAAGTAAGAAAGGGGAGCAGCTTGCACAACAGTTCCACATTGCTTATATCGCTTTGTTGAAAGCCCTGGATCCTGTGGATGCTTCTGGAAGATGCTCATGTCATGAGGGAATTGGCTTTGAGGGTCAGCAGCTTTTTTGAGTCAAAGAAATATGGAATAGGTTTCTCTATTTGAAGCAGATATTGGAAAAAGAAGCAGTGACTTGAGTTCAAAGTACTGAGTTGCTCCAACAAGTTTAATTCATGGGATAAGCTCTGCATACTCAACTCTCTAACCCAGCACTGATTCCAGCACCAGTTCAATTTCTCCAGCCTCTGATGTCAAGGGAACACGTCACATCAGAGTTTAGCTTAAAGAAGATTGTAAGAAGATTAATAGGTTATGTTGAGAAACACAAATACTTTCATTGTGTTTTCAAGCCATCAAAAGTAAAAGAAAGCATGACTGGAAAATGAATAGTTTAATAAGTTCCATTATCATATGCCTGGAAGCTTCCATGGCTCATGATTATCAACCCGAAAGGCAGCTGTTATTCAGAGATGTCTCATGACTATATCCACATTGATGACCAATTTTGAAAAGTATATCTACCAGTCCTTTAGATTGAATACAAAGAGCCATTTATCTCTTACAATAAGTGTAGCAAGCTTTCTGCATGTCTTTCAAGAAGTTGGGAACTCCAGTCTGGAACAGGAATTGAAAAACAGTTATCCTTCTATATTTAATAGTAAACTAAGTAGCAACTAATTTTCTTTGCATCTCTTTTGCGACTACACAAAGAATAAACATTGATTTAAGTCACCCATCTCATACTACAATTTACAGGGAAGCATCACATCAGGACTTAATATTTGTACTAATTCTGGGGACACACTCATTGGATTACTGGTATCTCTTCTACAGTAGCAGCCATCCACTGCCATTCACACTTTTCTAATTAGATATGGAAAAAGGCAACAACAAAACAATATTCCAAATTTCTAAGAGCCCATGAATCAAAATGACTTAATGACTTAACCTACAGCGTTATTTCTCCAGAGCTTCAACTGCTCTGCTTACCTTAACTGCCCAGTTGACAACCCATGAAGGAAGCCTTCCACCAGGATCATCAAAATAGGTCATGAAAACTTTTTAACCAAAAAGAAAGAAGAAAAACAAAGTGCAATTTTAAGTGCATCTTTTTCATTTCTCTAGTATATGCTTGTAATTTAGAATTAAGGATGGAACTTATTCCATCAAAGTTATTTCATGTGCTGAAACCCCACATGGTTTATAAGCACTTTTTATTCCTTTTTCTTTTCCGGATATCAGAATATCCTCCCTTATGCATAATGTACTTCTCATGTGGATTATATTCTAGGCAACTGGACAACTTATTGCACATAAACCCAGTCCAGAAACAAAAGCAGTAAAGAACAGAGATGAATCTAAAAAAAGTTATTCCCTTCCCTAATCCCATTGCCTCACCTATCCTTTGTAAGAAACCTAAATTTGGCCTTTACCAAATCATTCTTTTTGGGTGGGTGGGTGGAGGAGGGAAGGGAGGAGAGATAGGGAAGGGAAAGGAAAGATTATAGTAGTATTTCAATTTAAGTGTAAAGAATCTTAGTCTTGGAATCATAAAAAAATTACTGGATGACACTAAAAACCTATCTATCGCAAGCCCTATTCAATTTTTCTTCCACAACTGCTATTCAGAGATAGATAGCCTCTGATATTGCAAAAACTAGACTGACATCATGACTGCCAGCTACTGATAATCCTTTCCCTTCATTGGTTTGTCTAATCTCAGTTAAATGTTTCCACCATGCCATTTATCAGAACCTGCACTAAAGGAACAAATTGATAAATTAATATGAATTATATGGCTGCGTATCTTAGAAAACACTACTCGGGGCGGCTCACAATAATAAAACCAGGAAAATTTAAAAAAACCAAGACCTGGCATCTTAATCACCAACATGCAATACATCTAATAATAAAGTTCCTGGCACCCTCACCCTATCCCAATGCTTGGCACTAATTGTGTGCCCTAAACGAACTCATGGAATATGCCCAAAATCTCATTCCTGCTTAGTCATTTTAATGTAAATCTCATCAGTATATATGTGACCTGAGGATTTTTCTTCTCAAATGTGCATTTCCAAGGGCTTATTTGAACTTAAGTAATTTATGTTGAATTTTTCAAAGAACTGAGATTCCTTTTTGTTTTAAGTATTCTAACCTATTTGCTAGTAGCAAATCTTGTTGCTTTTCAATTTGCCCATAATTATTTTCAAACATAGTGAAACAAAATTTTGGTTGCTGTTGCTATTTTAAAGCCATTTGTTTTTTCTTTGTGCTTTCTGTTCTTTAATAGATTATCAATCTTCCAATTCCGTAATAGTGAATTTACTCTGGTGCCTCTGGCAAACCTTGTGACAGTAAAGAAAGAAAAGAAAAGAAAATTGTATCCAATGGACATCCCTATCCATAACCTGAATACCTTCAAAGAACTTTAAAGGGTCAGTGAGGCAGAAATTACATTTCCTGAAAGTCTGTTGCTATTTCTTCAGCAAGTTTTGATTTTATATAATGTTCAATGTATCACATGGTCAATCCAAGAAGTACTGGGAAAACCTCTATTCTTCATAGAGCATGGTGCTGCTGTGAGTGCACCAGGCATTTTAAAAGTTAAAGAAAAGTAGAAGAGATTTCCTTGGTCACCACACATAGTTTTAAAGGTGTGTGCAGTCCTTCACCCAACCGTTGCTAGCCAAATTATTGTTCAGTTGCTAGGCATCCCATGAAAAATCTGATAGCAGCAAATATTCAAATTCAGTTCACAGAGGGATCTATACTAAATATTTTTAATCCCTAGGTAGGAGACAAACAGAACAGAAAGAAGCAAAAATAGTAGAGATTGGTTAGCTGTGAGACAGAATTATCTGTATTGGAATTTGTGAAATAAATGAAATTTATGAAATAGATTTGTGAAATAAATCATTGGCTGTAGGCCTACAATACTACTATGTACACATTCTTTCAGCAATCTGTTTATCCTAATCGCTAACAAAAGACATAAATTAATTTTTACAAAGGCATATAGATATTTGTCAAAGTCCTGAATTAGAATTTAAATTTTCTGATCAAATTAACCATTCCTATAAAATTATCTATTAATTTCTTACCTTTGCACCCTTTCTTGCCATCGCTTGCAAAGGCCACACCTTGTCTAAAATTCTTTACTCTAACAATCCCAGGCTTTTCTGAGAATTTAACAGTATTCACACTTTTAGCCAATATAACATAGATCTTCTGCCCATCAAGCTCCATATCTTGACGCTCGCGAACAAAAACATACTGTGCTGAAGTTTAAGAAACAATCAGGATTTTAAAATTTAACATACATTATGTGTCCAGACATACCCCAAATTTAGGGAGCACAGATTCAATTGCATTTTGGATTTAAAATTATGTGGTTGTTTTTTCCCCCAAAAGTGTAAGATGAAACAACAGCATGTATAAAGATTCTACTTTTTTAGTTTCTAATAAGGATTAATTTGTGCACCATTCAAGTTTTCAGGAATTGAGAAAAACTGAGACTATAGCAAGGTTTGTAACTATTAAAGTTAAAATAAAATTACTGTCAAAAATTTGAAAGGATACATCTCTGTTTGCCAAGGGGAAGGGGAACTTCACTTCCCAGTATATAGCTGTTTTGCCATCCTGAGTTTTCTCACGTACATCTACAAATTGGTGGTAAAATGTATAAGAAACATATTTATTTCACTAAACAAACAATAATGATTAGAAAGCATTTAATGAAAATGCTACAAGTTATACCTAAATCAAGCTAGGTATGTGTGAAATTTCAATAAATGTCCCTTTTTCTAGGCTGTCAGCTTCTAGGGACTTAGGTGGGAGGCAGGATGTGTTTGCTCATCATTCAGAGTTGTTTAAAGTCATGCGGCATGCAAGTTTAATAAATCTTCATTATTATATGCATAACAATGTGAAATCACAGCTGCCAGTTCTTTAGCTGGTGTTGGCCTTCATGCACAGCGAGTTCTTTTTTATTTTATTTATTCAATAAATTTGTATGCTGCCCATGTCACTAACCAAAGCAATCCTGTGTTCTTTCCAAGAACTTAGGACATCATAATGTATCAGTATAATATATATGTGAATTCAAGAATTGCCTTCTGCAATGTACCTATTTTCTAAATGTTGTCCCAGATTTGGTTTGCTACTCAGTATGTCGATAATCAGGTAGGACCACCATGGCAGGCTTATGCCATAATCTTTCAATTTTGATTTGCAAATCTTATACTTTGTGATCTTCTCCAATTCTTTGTCTTTTATTCTACCATCCCTTGGTATTGCCACATCAATTATCCCCACTTTTTCTTTTCAGCCGATCACTTTCTTGTTATAAGCCAAGGCTTTATCAGTTTGTATTTGGAAATCCTACAGTATTTTAAACATTCCTTCTTGACTATTTGTTTCAACTAAGAAGTTCCATCACGTTTTTTTTTTCATACTAGCACATGATAATTTTTATAGATTATTCAGACTAAATTGCAAGTTAATGAGATCAAGGCCAAAAACCATGGCAGCAATTATGGAATCATTATATCTTAACTGCTTCTCAGTGGATAGCAGCTTTGGCTTGCAAAAGTGACCCCTGAGAAGCTCAGAGCCTAAGGAAAAGGAATCCCCCAAACAGTACTGACTTTTTAAAAAGAATACATCAGGAAAAGGAAAAGTTATACAGAAGAAGAATAGGAAATACTATTAAGAGAAGTTATTTATCTATCACCATTTATTTAGCCTCATTAAAGAAAAACAAAAATGTACTTCTGACTTTGTTGCACTGCGGGAACATATCTATTATGAAACAAGAACCATGCTGAGCAACTATGTCGAATTAGGATGTGTTAAGTCTCTGACTACAGATTGCTTGAACCTAAAAGGGTGCCAAGTAAGACTCATATACAATAAATTCTTCACCATTTTCTTGCAAAAGTTTCCCCCTTCCTCAGTACTCCATTCACTTGTATTTTTAGTATCTTGTTGCCCCCAAACCCCACCTTCAACATACATACATACATACATACATACATAATTGTATACAGTTCAAATTTTAAAAAGAAAGTTGCCAAGAAACACAGTGTGTTCTAACAAGAGCTGGACTTTAATATAGAGTAAATCATGTCCCCTCCAATTGTATTTCGTCTCCCAGAATTTCCCAGCCAGCATGGTCACTAATGAGAATTCAGCAGATTGACCCATTTGGAGTGCCACCAGATCGGGAAAGACTAGCTTATAAGATCCAAAATATATATCATTAAATTGCCTTTCCCACAAGAAAAAGAATAGAATAATCAGATAAATAAATACAGCATAATGTCTCTGGTGCAATGATTAAGATGTGGGCTAGGCCTGGAAAGGCCCAGGTTCCAGTTTAGCTTAGCCCTTTAAGCTAATCTTTCTGTCTTACCTCACATTTTAAAGTAAAGGTAATGGAAGGAATGAAGAAAGGAATGCTATGTACACTGTCTTGAGGAAAGGTAGTCTATAAGTATGACAAATAATATACATAAGAATAGTAAGTATCTGCCAAAACCCCTCTGTTTTCCAGCAGAAGAAGATCCATGGCTCTGTAACTTAAGCCCCAAAACTGTCTCATCCTTATGATGAATCCTCTTCTGGCCATCTCAAAACAGCAAAGTACTAGGAGATACAAAATGGAGAAAGCTTCTTCTTGGATAAGATGAAGAAAAGAAAAAAAGTCAATTCTAGAAGGACAAATCTATTTCTTCTCATTATTTATTCCAGCAATGGCTCTATTATGAAATTCTTAAGGCAGACAGCGAAGAAAAGCAGTGGACACGAAATCTAATTAACCACCAAACTAGAACTCAATCCAAAAATGCTATTAAATCTTTTTCAATATAGTTTTTCCATTCTGTTGTCAACAACCATAGTTAATTTATGTAGATATGTTTCTTAAATTATGTGACTTATATTTTTTAAAGCCTCAATATATTTTTTTTAGTTTTTCAAGTCATCTTGTGTAACCTAGTTCTTAAAATTATCAGTTAGTTAAAGTTAACTACTTTTCCATCAACACAAATTAAAATGTTTGATTGCTTTTTATAATAATTCATTAATTTCTTTTTAAATATTTCAAAACCGTCAAATACTTCTTAACTTCTCTCTAAAAATAACCTGTAGTGAGGGGAAAAATCCAAAACAATACATTTGGTGCTTTTTCAGGTATCTTTTTTTACTAAGTTTAATTTTTGAAAAATGTTCCAAAATTGCTGCACTACTATTGGTCTTATCCACTCTAAAGCTCCCATTGGAGCCACTTGACAAATAGGAAATCTCATGCACCTAATTGAGGCAGTTTATGTGTTGATACTAGAAAATGCTCTTGAATGCATTCTCAGTGTTTCTGGACAGCTAAATGAAATGCATCTTGAAATGCATCATGCTGATCTTAAAAGTCAAAAAGGCCATTTTGTGCTTTTCAACTAATACTACTACAGGGGTGGGAAGGAGTGACTTCAGATGCTCATATCAGAAAGAGAATTCTCTTAAATTCTTAACATTTCCCCACAAACTTATGGAAGGCTTAATTACAGGATTTCATATTCAATACCAATTTTCTAATGGAATAGAGTATAATTCCCAAAAAGCAGTAAATCACATGAATATCACATTTTCCACCAGAGGTCACTGCTGTATTAATTTGATATCAGACAAATGTACACCCACATCTTCAGACAGAACATCTCTAATCATACACATATATCCATAAATATATTAAACAATCAATGGAACTGAACATTTCTACTTCTTATTTCCTGCTCAATATTGAACCATTTTCTCAGCTCCTTGTTCTTATGCATGCCTTGTTTTAATTGTATATCACTCTTACAGAATTCAGAAATCATTCGTCAACACCATATTTGTGCAAAACAAGCCTTCTCAACTTTACTGCATGCTTTCTTTAACTCATCAAATACAGAATTAATTCTCTTTTCGCTTTCATACAATTAATTTCTAATTCCTGAAGAGTAAAAATCAGGTCCATATTACCTTATATGACATAAAACTGCATCACCCTTTCCACATTATAATTCATTTTAACTTCTAGTATTTTTAGTCACAATTCTGCCAATCACAAATTCTCCCATAGTTTCCTTTTGTGCAAGGAACCCTGAGTAGCCTTCTTTCGATTATAAGGCCTCCATACAATACTTAAATCAAACAGCTACTTCATAACGAAAAGATATTCATATATTTCTCCAATTACAAAATGTATACCTACAGCCTTACTATCAACAAATAGTCAACAAATTGCATGAAAAAAGAAAGAACAGCACATTACATGATAACAGAAGCAGACAATGCAAAAATAGTATACTAATATTGTCTGGGTTGTATTATATTTCCATGTATTAATTTATGTTAATTTCATTATATTTAGCATCTGTGGTTTATAGAACACACACACACACACACACACACACACACACACACACACACACACACACTTTCCATAGGCAGAATAAAATTCTGTTTAGAAGATTTCCTCATATTAATATCAGTAAAGCTAAATGAGAATATCATTGAAGGATCAAAGAAGCTTGATTGAAATAAATGGCTGCCTAGAAACTGGCATATGCTTTAATTAGTTTCTCAAATAAATATCTATAATTTTCAAGGTTAATTTATAAACACTGGAAGAGCATTTTAAACAGTATTTGCATTTTTAAAAAAGAAAAGTTCACTCACTGAATTAATCATCTTTCAATTTAAAACAGTGAAATGAAAGAATCTTAAAAAGGATAGCAGTATAGAAGAAACATTAGAATTATTTACTAACTTTTAACATATTGGTCCCATTTTGTTCTGTAGTTTAAGTCCATATAAACTTCAGCACATATCTCTGGGGAACAATCATTAAGTATGCTGTAGATTTTATATTCATACAGCCCCGATTTCTGGAAAAAAAAATAAAAACCAGTCAGATAAAAAAGTAATATCTGTTTTGTAGTGTATCACTCTTCTTCTCCCCAGTGTCACTCAGCAAAGCCATTGCTAAGAATCAGGGAGTGCAGTGTTCATAATCAAGGGGCACCAAATTAGGGAAGCCTACTTTTACCAATCCAATCTACTTTCATAAAATCAATTTACGTTAGCATCTCAAATATAATATTTGTCTTAAAGGACAGATACTACTGACCCTTTGGTGAAAGGCCTAAGGTGTCCCTTTCAAAATATGAAATACAATATTTGCCAGCAGGTTTCTAATCACTCATGTGATGATGCCTACCCTTCTTTTCCTCCTTCTGCAATAATAACTGCCCACCCGCCCCCCAATCTGCTTTGAAATGATGCAAAAAGATGTAGGACAAGAGAGAATGAGTGTCTGGTTGACTAGGATGAAAGAAGTAAAAAGGGGGAACAGAATACATGAATGGACAGGAGAAAAAACATTGCTGGAATGTCCTTGGAAAAGCTGTATTATAATTATGGAAGGCAGGTTGAGATGGCAATCATTTATCTTGGAATTCACCAGAAATTGAACTCAATGAATGGCATCTAATTATCTATTCCATTTGTGGAAATACAGTTAGATTTAAGCTAAAAGCTTCCATCGTGTTAGAAAATAGATTTCTTCATATAGTAACCACATCACTCTGCATGGCAGCCTTAAGATGTTTATCTCCCATGCTGATACTGGCTAGATAGAAAACCTGTCTAGTTTTCAATCTTTGACAATGATCTAGGCCAGATGTTTTGTTCAGACAATACTAACCATGACCTCTAGTTAGTAGATTCACCTACTTCTTTACCTTTTCCTCCAGCATTGAGAAAACAAACACTAATCGCTTTTCCTTATGTGGGCAAATCTTTGAAGACATGCGGTTTTCCTCTGCAAACATTGACACTCAATGAATCATTCAGCTGGGAGGAGGCTTAGACATCTAATTCAACCACGTTTAGGGCCAGATTTGCTTGGCCACAATGAATATATCACCAGATTACCAGTGGATCACTGAATAAAAACACATCAATTTCACCAGTTCTTATCATTTGAGCTAGAAGGCAAAACTGGAAAACTGCGCTCATTTCCATCCCAGCCCTTACTTGAATCCAGAAATCCTTTCTGCCAGCATTGGCCTTTGCGAGCTCAATTAACATTAATGGGCTCTAGTCTTAAGAGAACTGAGAAGCACATCTATACTAGGAGAAAGGAGGGAGATTCTTTTCTCCTTTTTTATGATTTGATAATTGGCAATTAGTACTTGACAACAAATCATATAGCCCCTGGCATTTCATGATTTAGTTTGGTTCCTCGGCAAGACTTGGAAGATATTTCAGACATGAATTGGCTGGTAAGATTCTTTAGATGAGAATTAAACCATGCAAAACAGAGTCTTGATTTTTAAACCTATGATGATTTAGTGCCAGGGTTTCTTCATCCCATCCCTTCCATATACCCTTAACACAGCATGGAGTGGCCTTAAAGCAACAAGAATATTGTATGTCATTTGTTAACTAAGAACTATCTAAATCCTAACTGAGAAAGAGGTGATGATGCAAAGAGACCCAGAATCAGTTTTTTATCTGAGTTTTCCTGAATTCTTTCATTGCTTTAAAATGACAATAAGACTACTTTAGGACATTTCCTATCCCTAAAGCAGTAGGAAACATATCATCAGTTTTTGTGTCATGTTCAAAAGCAACTTGAGGGTTTCAAAGGATTAAAGCAGTAAATTGTCTGCTTTTGATATACAGCAGCAAATTGTTGATTCTCCCAAATATAAGCAGCAACAATAACCATATTTCTGTTGCGATGTTTAGCTACGTAATATATTAGAACTCTTGAAGCAAAAATAAATAACTTGCTATTATTACTATTAGTCATTGTAGAAAGTCTAATTCAATGCATTAACAATTTAAATGTTTTCCCTGATGAGAAACATACTCAATATTATATATGGGTAGAATTTAAGTGATTACTCTAACTAAAATTACCCTATCTATGAGTTCTAATGCTTATTAAATCTAATTTCATTTTAATTCTTCTATTAGAATTTTGAATGTAACTATAGTAACCCAATTCAGTAAACATAATTTCATCCTTCAGTAAAATCAGCTAGGGCCTCTATTAAACCATCATTTGAAGAAAAATAGTAATTTAAATAATGGTGTACAATTCACACAGAATTTTATAGTGGTATTAAACATTTCCCTTATTTATTATTTATTTTCAATACATTTTTACAATATTACTTTGAACAATCAATCCAGAAGTGGAGATAAACCCACTCTTTATAGTTGCATCAAAACTGCTCCTGCAGATAGAGGTAAACAACCATAACTACTTTAGCTTTAAACAAATAGTTAATGTTTATATTATACAAAATTACAACAAAAATTATTTCATTGCTTTAAAATCATCTTAAGCTTTCCCACTGCTTCAGAAAAAATCTTTCAATAATGAAATGTCAATAAAATTGGATATAATATATATTAAAATGGCACAATTTTAGCAGCCTACTCCAAGGCTGTTTGCAGGCAGTCGATGGGACTGACAGTATAAAACATTTGGAACCAACAGCTTGTCTGGAAAAATATATAGCAAATACGAAAGAAAGAATGTTTTTCACTAACATCAAGAGATAAATTAATCAAGTTCTTGAATACATAACTCAAACCTGATCTAAAATACGGGCTTAATCTAATGAATAAAGATGCAGTCAGATGGAACAGCCAATTGAAAATACATTTCATTAAGAACTGCAAATACCAAAACCTTGAAATTCTATTATGATCATCAGATAATAGCCTTTGATTTAATAAACCAGTGGTGTCAAACTTGATTTCATTGAGGGCCACTTCAGGGTTGTGTTTGACCTCTGGTGGCCAGGGTGGGTGTGGCCAGGGTGGGTGTGACCAGTTCGACATCACTCATGTCAGGGGTGCCTGTGGTGGCCCCAACGCTTTGACAGTGAAAATGGACTCCTGAGCTCTGTTTTCGGCTACGATAACATCCTGCAAACCTCTGCCAGTAAAAATGGAGCTTAGTAGAGATGCACATGGCCCTCCTGAGCTCCATTTTCTTTGGCAGAGGCACCACAGACATCTCCTTTGCTATTTCCAGGGCGTTCCCGCGGGCCAGATCTAAGCACCCCATGGGCTGGATCCAGCCCCCAGTCCTTCAGTTTGACACCCCTGCAATAAACTATATGTATACTGGCTTTCTTACTTTTTGTATAACTTATACATAATATATAATATATATATATTATATGTATATATATGTTATATATGTTATTAAGTTATATTGTATAATTTGAAACCTTAATTATAATCAGGAGTGTGAATCAAAAGTATTTATATATTTCTGACATGATTATACAGAGCCCCTCTCTGAAGGAGATTGGGCAGTTAAGAAGCATGAAATATAAATAAAATAAACAAAAAAAAATATTCCATTAACCTGTAAAAAGCTTTTCTTTTATTTAAATCAGTAAAGTGAAGTAATAAGAAATAATATAAAAAACTGGCAAAAACTACCCATTCGGAATAATGGGTTCATTGAACAACTACCATGTTCACTTAATGACCACCATGTTCATTTGACTACGGCATTTGCTTAATGACCACTACAAGAAATGTCTAACCCTGCTTAACAACCCACACAACTTACGACCATAATTCTGGGCTCAATTATAGTTGCAAGGACAAGAATACATGTAATTATTTCCCTTTTCCTATCTCGCTTTCACAAATATACATAATGGCCTTCACTCTTTGCAATCATTAAGATTCCTAGAAAATAGTGTCCTAATTAGAATCTTAGGAGAAGAGAATGAACCTTTTAATATTTTCAGGAAGGCAAAGAAGCATTTACATCAAACAGACAGAACTCTCCACCACCACCACCATTTCTTAGGAGTATTTTATGTAGGTAGTCTAGGGTGAGGACAATCAATTTTATTTGATAATATATTGGAGGAAATAGTTCTTGGCCTTTCAGATCTCAGGAGCTGACAGTAAAAAAACATATTATATAGGGTTTTTTCTCCTGAAAAACAAATATTCAATAAGAATAATGTTTCTAAAATGTAAGAGAATAATTGGGCTTTTGAGAAACAATTATTTTTAATTTCCAAACCCAAATTATTCTTTATATTCCTTCAAGCAAGCTCTATAGAATGTGAAGAGAGCAAAAACTTTATTTCCAAAGATATTAACTGCGTAGGAAGGGAGGGTAGGAGAAAATTCTGCCTCTACCTATACTCCAAACATCCTGCTCGCCTCCCTGACCAGCTCAACAATGCTGCAGAAAAGCCAGACTTGCAATAAGAGCTAGATCTGCATCCCACAGCTTCTCTAATTTTGTCTTACAGTAAACATCCCTTAGTGAAAAGGAGTAAGGAAAAAAGAATATTGTTGAATATACCCATGATTAAGTATGATAAATTCAAGCTGTTAGCCCTCATTGTCACCTCATCTCAAGTATGGGAAACAGAAAAATGAAAGAAAATAAAAGTTGAAGGATAGGATGGCAGAATGTTCATGAAAAATAAAGATGTCTTTTCGGGCACTTGCCAATAAATTTTAAAAAATAAACGCCATGTAATCATGGTTGCTCAATCTATAAAAATACGTACAAGTCTATTCTTTTTATTAATTTTCCTATCTTTTATGTTAGTTCCCTTAATAGGACAAATTTATCGATGATTTATTACTCAGCACAACTGGTCCTTCACTTTAAAAGCACACTTTTAAATGCTAGGGCTACTTTTATCCAGGCTGCAAACATCTGGACAACTGGATGGCAGAAAAGAAATACAGAAAACTGATTACGATTGTATGCAAGAATTCCCACGGGGTCCTGGCTAATGACTATTGGAAACAGTATTGGACTTGGAAAAAACTTTGATTTTGCCAATCTTCATAGTTTATGACGGGGACATTTGTTGTCTATGCCCAGACAGTTTACAATTATTTCTTCTTCCCCCCCAAAATGACAAAAATATTGACAGACTGAAACTTTCAGATTACAAAAAAAAATATACCATCGTATCTGATGGAACACGCCTAAAAGTCCTGTTCTCTCTACGATTTTGCTCATGGTTAAAACAGTGGTTAAAATATGGGAGACTGATAAGGGAGCTCCAAAATTCAACCCTCTATAACCACCCCAAACTTTTGACAGGAAGATGGGGGGGGCGGGGTGTTATAGTCTGCCTCTTTCCACCTTGCAGGTTTACTGTGAAGGCAACAGGTGAAAAGCCACCCTGGAGGCCTCCTGAACACCTTGGCTAAAAGAGGTGAGGTTAAAAATAATTAAAAGTAAAGGTAAAATAAAGGTTTTTTTTTTTTTTTGTAAAATTAGCTCGATTAATGGAGATTATTACACGGACTCATCTATTCTGGCTTCTCTTAGACGGCGACTCCTCATTTGTTTTCCATTTCCTTTCCATTTTTTTTTAATGAGCCAAGGTCCACTGACTCAACTAGCTGGGAAATAGTCTAATAAAATCCGAGGCACGGGCTCCGCCGTAACATTTCAGTTTCTATGGTAGCATATCTAAATTGAACAAGTAAATTAATAAGGCCCTTGCCCTCTCCCATCTGTCTCCCCCGGGCAGCGGACTCGGGGATGGGGGAGACGGACCATGGTGCGACCCCTCGCACCTCGTCATACAGTCGGTAGATGCAGAGACCCTGAATGTTGGTGAGGAGCTGCCAGGAGGCGTCGGGGCGCCCGCTAGGGCTGATCAGCTCCTTGGAAACGGCCAGGAATTGGTCCTCGGCAAAGAGCGGGCGTGACTGCTCCGGCCTGCGGAGGTGGGCGGCCGAGGAGGAAGCTACGTTGCTGACGTTGCTTCGGGACATCCCCACCGAGAAAGGGCAGGCGCAGACCTCGCCTCCCTTTAGCTCGTCCTTGGCCGCCCCCTTCAGCGGGCCACTGGTGCGCCTCCGGACCAAGTTGCTAAAGATTTCCGGCGGGCACATGGCCCGGGCCCAAGCAGCATTGCCGGCGGAGCTCCCGACACGCTCAGCTCGGCCGGGCCCGGCGCGGCGTAACGGTTGCACGAGGGGCGCGCGCGGACCTGGGTTCGAATGCCGCCCCCCTGACGCGATGAGCGAAATCCCTTGGGCGACGCGTCTGGGGGCAAAGAAAGAAGGGGTCCCCAGGGGCGGGAGGGCCCCAGAGTCTGACCCTCCTCACTTCAGCTCGCAGGATCTGGGGAAGGGGTATCCTCTGGGGCAGATCCCCACCGATGACATGAGCTTTTCGCCCCTCCCGCCTCCCCCCACTCCCGCCGGGTCATGTTTCTTTAGGACGGCTGCTGTTAGACGACCTAGAAAAAGTTAACGGTTGTTAGAAGCAAAGGCCTCTAAGGGGCTTAAAAGAATTGTCAACCAGGATTACTCTTGCACGGGCTGTAAACTGGGCTAAAAGCCAACCGTACAACAGGTCTAAGTAGCTCCTTTCATCCAAGAATAATTGCCAAACGGGTCATCGTACTTCAGTCAGACACTTTGCCTAAGAATCACTTTTGACGACTCTGTTCCCATGACACGCTCTGGGTTAATCCAATTCTGAGTCTGTATGACATATGCAACCATAAACTAACCACATGGCTTGAGTTTCCATAAGTGACAAGGCTAAAATGTGATTGGCTTGTTGATATTTCAGGCTGTCATGTTCGTGAAGGGCAATAAGGGTGCAGAGGGGTTTTTTAGAAGTCTAAGAAATGCTTAACAGCAGCTGAATCCAAAGAAAATATAACACCAAAACTGAGCAGACTTTTAGGCCACAGCAGGAAAAGCTTTCAAGGTCCTGAAATTGTGACGGATTGTGAATATCTAGTCCATTTATGTCTTTTCCTATGGAAGAGCTAAACCCAAGAGGTAAGATAGACCCCCATCTGTCTGAATGTTTTGGACGACTGTAAGGATATGGCTTTTCCATGGGGATAGAAAGAGACTGTGATTATCTGCTCCTGAGATGGAAGAAATACCAGAAAATTTTATTATTAATGTGATAATGTAGATGCTTGTTAATGAGGATTTTTAAGAGCTCATTGTACCAATTATATTGTTAGAGTTTATATAAATAAGTTCATTGCTGTGAGGAAAAATTGTAATCTGCTCAGAGTTAATTAGAACAGTGTGGAGATCTAAGCAAGTTCATTTTGTTTATTGTTTCAACCACAACAGAGTATAATAATCAGTATGAAAGTTAAGTAAATCATAATCAACCAAAATTAAAATACATCAGAATCTGTAAGAGTAACCAAAACATACAGAGCAATATTGCTACATTATAAAAGTAAGAAGTTAATAATTTCAATAAAATAATTAATGGGTTTGTTACTTGAACAAAGCTTGCCAGCTTCCATAATACAGCCCCCCATCTGAATTCATCAAGTATTAAATGTTGATGAATTGGGCCAAAAAGCACCAGTGGTTAAGGCACCAAGCTAAAAACCAGGAGGCCGTGAGTTCTAGTCCCACCTTAGCCATGCAAAGCCATCTGGTGACCTTGGGCTGGTCACTCTCCCAGTCCAACTCACCTCACAGGTTGCTGTGGGAAAAACAGAATGAGAAATGTTGAATATGAGTGAGTGATTTGTAAAAAAATAAAGGGGGCATACAAATAAATAAATAGCATAGTTTCCTTAATTTGCCATGGACAGAAGTAGGGCAGTTCAATAAATAATATCAAATAGAATAGAATAGAATTCTTTATTGGCCAAGTGTGATTAGTCACACAAGGAATTTGTCTTGGTGCATATGCTCTCAATGTACATAAAAAAGGATACATTAGTCAAGAGTCAAGAATCAAAAATGTGTTCTATAGTTTTACTTGATCACAGAAACACAAACAACTGGTCATTGTTCAGTGATTGTGTTGGACAGCAACCATTTACAATTACAGTAGTGATGAAAAAACAATTTTACGATCAATCCTCATATTTATAACCTTCACAGATCTGTAAATCAAAGGAAAGCTGAAGGAAGATCAAAAGCACAGTTGTGATTTCAGCCTGGAGATTGCTCCACTTAATAACTGAGTTACTGTCCCAATTGCAATTGGTAAATGAAGACTAGCCGTATTATATGGTACTTTTAAGAAATTTCTCAGTAATTAAAACTATTCTGGTGAATATCTCTATAAGGAATGGCTGTTGCACACCTTAAATAGTAGTCATATTCAGTTGGTTATATTAATTTTATGCCAAAGGGCAATATTGCTATAGTTGTCCTCAATTTCAGTGGGACCAGAATTTTGGTCATTGGGCAATGTGGTCATTAAGCGAGATGCCCACATGATTGCTTCACTCAACAAATGCAATCCCAGCTCTTCTAGTTGTGGTCATTGGGCGACCATATCGGTTGTTAAGTGGGCAGCGAAAGAGCTGCTTGCCAAAGAACAGTGGGCAACTCCTCGCAGTGCACAGAAGGGAATTGCAGTGGCAGGCTGGGGAAAGGAAATTCAGATCATGAAGAGCAGACCTTCCTTTCTCCAGCCTTCCTGCTTCTCCACTGATTCTGAGGAAGCCAGCAGAGAAAATTGCAAATAATCACATGATCACAGGGTGTTTAGCAATCAATCATAAAAGCAAACAGGTTGCCAAGTGCCTGAAATGTGACTGCAGGGGCAGTAGTCGTAACTTTGAGGACAGGTCATAAGTAGCTTTTTAAAAATCCATTATAACTTCAGTTGTTACATAATTGACTAGCAAGGATGATCTGTATGCAAAACCTAAGAACAATTCTTCTCAAAACATCCAGAATTTTGTTTTTAAATGGCTGATTATCACAAGCATTATTTGTATTCAGAAAGACTTGGTGAAGTGACAAAAATATGCATATGATTGGTTAAAAACAGAAAGCAACAATTGCAAGATGAAGTGGGAAATTTCATTTGCTTCAAAAGACACAACTTGACAAATGGTGAATCTGCTTAACCCAGTAATTCAAGCTTAATCCTATAATTAAACATTATTTTGGCTGTAATTGGGTATGTGCCAGTTTCTGCATTCAAAAAGGAAATACGTGTGCTTTAAGGTACACCTAAAGAGCATGTTTTGAGAAAAGAACATTTCATAAGGGGCAGAAACAGAATCAGTGATGGGATTCAAATTGTTTTACCGCCGGTTTGGTGGGCATGGCTTGGTGGGCGTGCTTTGCCTAACATGCAGCTTTTCCCACACCAGCTGAGACCTGCAGCGCCTATCAGCTGAGAGGATAAAGAAGAGATAAGTGCAGGGGCGAGTGGGAGGGCCAATCTTGCACTTTTCTCTTCTTTTTCTTCTCAGCTGATTGTCAAGAATTTTTTTCCTTCTCTCAGCTGATCATCAGAAGCTTTTTTTACTACCAGTTTGATCGAACCAGTAGCATATCAGCACTGAACAGAATCCTTTTGGATATAATCATTTAAAAAAGGATTTGACTGTATACTGATAGGCAGAACACAAAGTAGCTTCCATTTTCTTACTTCACTGAGCCAATGGCATAGGGAATATGAAAGGAATATAACAAGGACATATTCAGAAGGTTAATTTGAAATAACCAGTCATAACTGCAAGTTTCTATTTTCTATATATTCATAAGACTTTCCCCACTTGCATCTAACTGTAATACTGACATAGCTTAGTTTCTTCCTTCCTTCCTTTCTCCCTACCTCCTTTCCTATCCTTATGAAGCTGCCTCAACTGATCTGAAATTTAAACTAGGACAGATATTACTCCTTCCCTCCTGGTCTCTATTCCAGAGTTATTCTCTTCTGTATAGTAGAAGACTCGACTTCTTTCAGACCAGGCTATCCCCAAGGGCCACCAGGTACAGATACAAGTGCAGGGACAGTTATGCAGGAGGGTCCTGGCTTTCTTTCATGCTTCACCATGCAGCCTACTCCCACACCCACACCTATCATGGTGGACTAACAGTGGTGACAGGGTGTGGAGAGTAAATGAGAGACTGCCATTTTTCTACCAGCTGCTAGTTGGCAGAGTTCACCTAAAGCAGAGGTGTCAAACTTGATGTCATTGAGGGCCACATCAGGTTGTGTTTGACCTCCTGGGGCCAGATGTGGGCATGGCCAGGGTGGGCATGGCTAAATTGACATCACTCATGTCAGGAGTGCCTATGGTTACCTGAGCGCTCTGCAACCCTCTGCCAGCGAAAACAGAGCTTGGGGGCCCCTCATCCCGAGCTCCATTTTCACTGGCAGAGGCACCGCAGGCCAGTCCTTCACTGTTGCCAGGGTGCACTCACGGGTCAGATCTAAGCACCCCATGGGCCAGTTCTGGTCCACGGGCCTTGAATTTGATACCCCTGACCTAAAGGGTCATTGTGAGGAATATACTGCACATCTGGTGGACAAAGTTGCTCATAATCACTCTACATTGGATTCCAGTTTTAAAGCAGAATCGATGGAGGTAGTGGCAGCTATGTCTTGCAAAGAAGTTTTAAGCAGCATGGTGTCATAATGTTGAAGATGCTCGCCTCCCACTCAGAAGATTGAGAGTTCAGTCTTAGGTAACAGCAGATGTTTCTTTCTCGGAATTCCACATAGGAGTCAGGAAGGGCACCCGAGCAATAAACACTCAGCACCATTCAATTGCCCCAGCTCTACCCCAAATTAAGGGATTAGAGGTTCATAAAAAAGGTGTGTGTGGGGAGGGGGGGTATTTTAAAGTTTTAGAATTATAAGCTACCCAGAGTCACTTGGCTGAGATGGGTGGTTATAGAAAAGAATGAATGAATGATTTAGAGCAAGTGTAGGGAAGGGTGATAAATGGTTGTTGGCTATAATAACCTGTACTCTATAAGGTCAGAATAATTTGCTGCAATGTACCTATGACAATATAGGGATTACCAGTGGAGGAGCAGATTTTTATGTCAATTTAGTTTTCTGCTGGCAAAAGGAGCGGTAAGTAGCATTTTAACTCAAAAATCCTCTATCTTAGCAGCAAGATGTCCTTTGAATCACATTTTGGGATACTTTGTGCAACTGTTTGCTAACCTCTGTTATGGAGTAAAGGCTTTTAAAGATTTTTAAAGTTTTAATTAAACATCCTTTTAAAAACACAAATCTCTTTACACTGGCATATTTCAAAAACACTAGATCTTCAAAAGGTCTTTTCTTTTGTTGACATTCTTACAAAGCACATCATAATTACGAACAGTTACACCCTCTCAGAATTGTTCATTCTCCAGGAAAAGAGCCCTTGTTTTCTTAATAAGAAGGAGGTACCAGTTTTATTGCATCTGGCAAATGGCATCTTAAAAAGTTGAAGATTTGCTCCTTATGTTCACATTCAGACCTTTTCATTCTGCCTTCTGGCCCCTCCTGGGAGTATCCCACTCTCAACATCCTATGGTACTTACTGAAGAATAAACATCTCTCTTTCCAATTCTTTTGCAATGAGAATTGCTTGGCAATTTCAACAGACCAAAGTGACAATGATCCTTTTTGCTCAGGTTTCAGTCTAACTCTTGCAAGTTGCTGAATTAAGTCTTTTTTGGATTCATTGCTTTAGTCTGAAAATTGCTAGGTAAATATTTAGTGAAAAGTCTGTTGTTCTAAGAGTGCCACTATTCTTTAATATAATCAATGATCATATAAAGTTTTATGGTTTATGCATGGAAGACCACAGCATGGAAATGCCTAACTGACCTATGGGGTGTTTTCTGTTTAGGTACTGCTCAGCCATTTCTTTTTCAGAAAGCTTTTTCATTACTCCATTCTTGGCTACATCCTCAATCTGGGGAATATTTTGTCTTTTTCCATAGATAGCCAACCTTTTGTAGATACTGAGAAAGTCATGTGTTCAAAGAAAACCCACAAAAGTTGTTTCACATCCTTACTGGCTTTATTCTTGTTATCTTTTTCTTTTTGGTATCTTTGACTCAATATGAACTCATGGCAAATGCCTGGACTGGTTCCTTCTGTTTTACCAGTAAGATTATTAGAAGTAGTTTGCCCTTGCCTTCTTCTAGAGCTGAGAGGGGTGGAGTGGCCAAAATCACCCAATTGGCTTTGTGCTCAAGGCAGTACTAGAATATAATTGTTTCCTGGATTCTAGCTGAGTGTCTTAACCACTATACCAGACTAGCCTTAACCACTATACCAGACTAGCTATCTGTCATGAATACTTAGCCATTATTACTTCATGTTTATTCATTTAACCCAATTCCACAACTTGCACATCATATTGAGCCCTCACCAACTACATGAATAGAGCTTGTACAATATGCTAAGCTAGAATATGGTTGAGTAGCCTGGGAGTCAATGTGACATGCACATTTTGGGGGATTTAAGGAACCCAACACGTTTTGATCAGTAGCATATTAAAACATGTACAGCTCTTCATAAGTACATATGCTACTGATCAAAATGTATTGAGTTCCTTAAACCCCAACAAATGTGCATGTCACCTTCTTTTTCTTCCAAAGAATTGGAGACATATTGATTCTTCTGCCCCCTTACTTATTTTTTATAACACCCTTTTGAGGGTGGAATTCCCAAAATATTGATTGGTGCAAAGCTACATAATAAATGAAGAGTGGCCCAAGATACGGATGTTAGCAGAAGGGACAGGAGATGACAAATAATGGAATATCCAGGCAACATATATGATGTGATTGATGCAAATTTTATAATTGAAACATTTACACAGTAACATATACAAACATCACCATTTTAATGTAACACTGTCTGTAAGTGACACCTATGGCTTAGAAGTAGGAAATGTGTGTATGGCTCCCAATAATCTGTGCCAGTCAATCTGTCAGTCTATTTTTCCCCCATTATAGCTCCTTGTTTCTATAAGGACATACTTTTGCCCATTACAAAGTCTCCTGGAATCTTTCTCCAAACTAACAATTCTCAGTTTCCCTCCTGTTGTATTCTGTCATTAGCAAAAGAGGACTCTGCTTCCCCAGACGCCCCTTTGTGGCGATTTCGCTAAGACCACCCAGAACTAATGAAGTTTATCCCCCAGCAGCTTGTTCCCTCCAAGAACGCTTTTCATTTAGTCTTGTGAAGTTGACTCCGGTCCCTTGGTTTTTCTTCCCCCCACCCCACCCCCAGCTCTGGCTCAGCCGTTTGTTTACGGTCCCTAGGTTCCCCCTCTTCGGAGTGCTCTGGGCAAGCGTATGTTCAGTTCTTCGCTGATCGAGCTGAGGTAAGCTCACACGGCTCATTTTTGGCTCCTGGGTTGGATTTAAAGGGAGAACCGGTGGAAACTTTTCCGGGCATTAGGTTTTTCCTTTTCCTTCCTAAATAAGTTTTATCTTTGAACAGTAACTCCGATTCTCGGGCGTGAGAGGGAACTAGAGGGGGGGAACCCTCGAAAAACGACAGTAGAGCACCGGGGAACTTCAAAGGAGAAATATTAAATGCAATCGGGATTTTTAATGTGTTTTTTTTTTCTTTTGTTCCTCAATAGCTGCAGGCGGTTCTTTTTTAAAAAAAGCCTTTAAAAAGGATAATAGCTTCCAAGATAGTTTTTACTTTTCCCTCCGAACTCTCTTTAGGTTATATTTCCCCGACTTTTGGAGATATGACACTAAAGTAATCGAAACTCCCCTTTAACTGCGCTGCTTTCTTTCAATCTTAATAATAAACGGCCCGCATGTATTTATTCGTCTGTTTGACTGCGGACGATGAGCGAAGTTGTTTGATTTACAACTCTGGCTCCACACTTTCCCCACTACTAGATTTCCATACCACGTTGCCTTATATTGTAGGGTCTTAATTTTTACAATGGGGCTTAAAGACGGGCATGTAAAAGTTTGGAGCGCACAACCGGAACTAGCTTTTGGAATCATGCTTATAGTATTTCAACGTGCAGCGAGAACTAAAACTAGATTACACAGATTCCCTTCTCCCCGGGAATACCTAAGGAAGGGCAAGAATAGTAATATGCAAAATGTTATTTTCCTGTGGGTTCTCTCATTCTTGAAAACTCAGGTCTCTATAGCCTTCTGAAATGCAGCTGGACTTAGTGATCTAATTTGCATTTGAGTGTTACTTGACCAGCTTGAAATTGATGTCTGGACTGTTGGAGGTGATGTGTCACATTCTATACCTCAGCTAGGTCAAGTGTAGTTGGTAAACAATTTAAATGCAAAATGCACCTACATGAATGTGGAATTCATGCCGGATTGAGGAATGCTGCAATGGTTCTCAGCACACAAATTTAATTGTACATTTACACAAGATGAAGGCTATTAAAATTTGATTTCTCATAATATTGTTATACCATCATATTTAAACATGCTATTTTGGAAATAAAACTCTTTCAATGAAACAGAATTTACTTCTGAGTAAGGGCATACAGCAGCCCCTATAGCTGCTAATAAATGCTATATTCAGCAAGGTTTTTCAGCCTTGATCCATCATTAATATTACTGTGTTCTATTTACTTTAAAGCATCCAGCCTTGAACATTCCTGGAAGCCATAATTTTCTTCTTAATCTTCTTTCCACAAAATGTCACAGTTAATACTTAACAGTTCTTTTACTTTTTTTCAATTCTTCAAATAATCTGGGGCTATATTTCATTTGGGATTGGGATCTGGTAAAATATTGTTTAAACAACTCTCCACCACAACTTCTGCTAAACATCACTAAAGATGACAAATGATTGATACTGGTAAGGATGTAGAAGTACCTGAAATATTTGCAACTTATTTGCAATAAGTAGCGATAGAGAAAATGTTAGAGGCAGCAAAGTAATGAGTAAAGAGAAGTTTACAAAAACAGACTGGAATTGTTTTCTTTGGCATGAAAGATCAAAGGGGAAAGCTGTTTTTACAAGAAGATAATTCCCCAGTACAGGCTCTGTTCCTAAACTCTTTCATGCTTCAAAAGCTGGAAGCCTTGTTCAACCAAAGATGGAAAGAACATAAACAGTACTACAAGGATATGGACAATCCTGATGTTGTCTCTTTGCATCCTTGGGCAGAGAAATATGTCTTTAAAAAAACAGAAAAAGTTAAGAAATATTGAAATGAGGATCTCATGACAGGAGAGATGAGGAAAAAGATCAAAAGATAATTTCCTAGTGTGATCCTGTCCAAGTTTCTTTGGTTCATAATCAGTGAGACTTCAGAATAATTATTTGTTTAAAGATTATTCTGTATAATATGTGATCTTTATAAATGCATACAAGCATATGGATTTGTGAACTGATAACAGTTAGGATAGAATAGGAGATATAGCTACAGAATTAAAAGTATATCTTATTCTCCTCTTGATCAGAATTAGTGACTTTAAAAAAAAATGATACCGGAGTTGATTAGATGAGCATACATTTTTTGCTTGTATGATTTCGATTATTTTTTGAATATTTCATGCAGACACTGGGTCAAGCTCATAGTTTGGGTCAGGCTCTTACAAAATTCTACTTAGTGATGCTGTGAATTAAACTCAGTGTTTTGGGCATTCCAACTATGTGCGGTACCACAGAATAATGACCCTTCTTCGCTTTAGTTTTCAGAATGTGGTAAAAGCTGGCAAGCTATTAAATATTTGGCCTAATCTTCTGCATGTTCCATGCTAGTTGTGGGTATGTACTTCAGTACATTATAGATCTATCTGGCTTCCCTCCAATGTACTCCAATGTACTTATGGAGTTTATACTTATGGAGTTTATATTCTGCACTAGTGCTAAATCAGACACCACAAGACAGGGCAGATGTGCTTTTCTTTGCCCTCACCATAGGTTCTATTGACTGGCCCAAGAATACAGTATTCAAGGAGCTTTGTAGCCAACTGAGGATTGGCTGAATGACTGTCTGGATGACTGTCCAGAAGCTGTTCAGGAGCTCAACTATTTCAGCATTCTATGGGTACATTGTAAATAACATGTACACAAATGCACCTCAGCTACTAAGACTTTTATCCTTGAGAATCAGTTTGTAATAAGTTGTCTTGGAATAAGCTGTAGATATTTCAGTCCTCCCTTAGAGTTCTGCTGGATATAGCTCGTCTCAGAGGTGGTGAAAGCCATATATGAAATGTGAAGAGACAGAAAATTGTGCATCCTTAGCTATCGTATCCCATTCTGTGCTTTTGTTTGAGTCAAGTTTATCTTTCATGATACTTTTATGTAGTTGTAATATTAAGAAATAATTTTAACTGGAATGGCAGGACCATAAAATTAATTTGTTTAATTAAAATATTTGGCAGAATGTTGGGGTATATCTCATAAAATGCATTTAGATAGAAAATAATGTAGGTAATAATGTATATAGCAATACCTAGACAATTAAAAGAAATCTGGCATTAGATCCACGTTCCCCTTATAGCAGTTGCCACACAACCACACTTAGCAATCTTCTCAAATAAGAGCAGCCCACAAGTAGGAAATATACATCTTCCTCATTTGACTGATCCAGTCAGCTAACTAGCAGGGACATTATCCATATGAAGTGTCATAACTGATACCACAAAAGAGGGAAAGAGATTATCCTTTAGGGAGCTGTGATTTTATCTGCCCTTCAGAAGCATAAATGCTGTACCTTTAATCTGTGGAAAAGCTATTCTTTGCTTTGGCAGAACATGCACTGAAATTTGAATTGGTTGAATATGTCTAGTCCTAAATTTCATCTATCTTTCAATTCTGTGAAATATAAGAACTTTATGCCAGGTCAGATAATCTGTCTGTTTAGTTTAGGATTGGTTTTTTAGAAAGTTCTCAAAAGTTTTCGAAATAGAGATCTTTCATATAACTTCTTGCCTAATCTTGAAATATGAAAGAGAATTTAGGATAGATTATTAGTATGCAAAGCCACAGTCTATGCATTTAGACCTTTTCCTCAAGGAACCAAGATGTCTAAAAGGTTTTGTAAGTCTGAATCTCTTTTTACTAAACTGAATGTGAATTTTTGTGTGAGAAAGTGAGAGAGGGGGAAAGAGAAAGAGAAAGAGAGCAAGAGAACATGGTAACTTTTAACTGCTTTATAGCCCCTAACCCAACAGCCCATAAATTACAGTCTTCAAAATAACACCTGTACATTTCCTTTTCTATACTGCTATTGCAGATGTTCTACTGCCATATAGCAACCATCCATGGGCAAGTGTTGTCTATTTGTGGGCACCTTTCCCATCACTATAAGCCAAGGGTTACCCTAGGTGCAAATTATAAAGTTATACTCCAATGTATCTGAAAATACCAATTGGAGTCACATTGCCATTGAAAGTTCAGCCGTGTTCTCTTATAAACCATGTTGCAAAAGGAAATATTTCAATGATACTATTTAAGGCTGCGCTTTTGAATACATCATTGACAATTACAGTGAGGCTATCTGTCATCAGAAAACAGGATCAGCCCAGCGTGGTATTTTGATCCAATGCAAGTAGTATGTAGGCAGTTATCCCTCTATCTGTTCCTCACATTTCTCGCTAGCCCTGTTCTGAAGCCTTGGCCTGCAGTGTTGAATTGGCCAAAGTGTCCTCTAGAGCCTTTCAGGCAGAGGGAAAGGAATGTTGAGTAAGCTTAGTAGCAGATCTTTTGCAGGTTCAGAAGGTTAACCTGACTGCCTTGTGGTTTCACAGCTGTTGCTCTAGCTGATGCTGCTTTGGCTCTTCCTTGCTTAGGGGACTCATGGAAAGTGTGAATCTGGGATGTAGTTGTTACAAATGCAGGTGTTCAAGAAAGTTTGTCACTTTAAATGGGATCAGCTTGAAAGATAGCAAAGATGAGGGTTGTCCTTTTTTCCTCTTCTACGTACTGAAACTGATAAGACCTTGCTTTCAAGACTGAGCAGGACAACCATTTGTCTCCATACCTGAAGCACAAATCGATTTAGCAAGCTAAGAATAAACAATGAGGGACACAGATCTTTCTAACCTCACCATAACCTAGGATAGCATGGAAGAACAGGATGACAGGCTGAGAAATTGGCATCCTGCTCCTTGGCTTCTCTCACCTGAAGTAGTTTCTCATTTTCCTTAAGGACAGGGCTGTATATAAGTAGGGTCTCCTTCACAGAGAGAAATGCAAGTGTTTTATTTTGAATGCTGTATGAAGAGAAGCTGCTCAAGTGATTTGTGTTTCCTGTTCCCTCTGGATCGCTGTCATATTCGAGGCCTCTCTGGTCAGATGAGCCAGGCTGAAAAAATTCTTTGGAGCAGTTGATGAGGAACAAACAAGGATGAAGTTACCAGATCAAATGGCATAAATAATGGAGCTTCTAGAGCTCTGGTGTCTATTCTGTGGAATTCTAATCTGGTGGGCTGAATGATGTTGAACTCTTCCAAAGAAAGGTAATTCCCCTGAAAAGGGAAATAACTGGTAGTGTTTACTTCCTCATTTTTAAAAAATCCTTTAACAGCAGGATTTAATTAACAAAAATTACTCAACTGGTTGTATTATTCTTTATATTTTGATTGATGTATGTGCTTGTTTGTCATATATTGCCCTACCTTCAAGAGCTGTTAGCTATATGGTCTGACTAATTTTGCACTGCATACTTTATTTAATAAACAGAAATCCTGATATATATATCTGTTGCTTATATTGAATATTTCTGTCATTTATGTAAACCTTCACCCTTTTGCAGTTTATCATTTTATCCAATTTCTTTTCTCTAGGTCCCACTATAGTGTGTCTGGTTTTCACAAGAAAAAACACAAACTGTTAACAGCCCTCAATTTTTACTGTTCATCAACTAATTTGGAAAATAAAAGTCTGATTTTTGGAATAAACCTTTACTGTTGCTTGCCAAAACAAACCATGATAAATGTTTTACAGAAGAGGTAGGTGGAACCTGGCTCTTGCTTGTATGCATGAACAATAATAAATCATTATGATTTTAGATCAGAAATAAACTGCATGTAACTCAATATCTGAAGAAATAAATACAAATGTATCATTCAATAGGCTTTTTAAACATGTTTGTTAAGATGAACAATCTCTGCCCTATATTTCTTATCCATTTATGTTATAGTACAGTATTTGATTTATACAACCCTAATTTGTATTCTATTGCAAGGAAATTTTTGTTCTTTGGATCTGAAGAAATTTTGATATTAGCAGGGTGTTCACACTTGTCCCATGGAAGAGGAAAAATATAGAACCATGCATTTGCATGAGAAAGGAAGAATGCATTATAAGTCATATTTAAAGAATGAAACCGTGACACTCCAATGTGTGAATTATCTTGATTTTCTCACTAGCAATTGGTAAACAGTAATCTTTCTGGGTAGAAATAACTTTTGCTTAGAAAACTTTGCAGAACATGACATACATTGATGATGCTAAGTTAATAAATATTGAGGGCCCTGTGTTTAAGGATACTTTTAGTTTTCTCAACTGAAGTAGTAGTATCGCCATGGATATGGTACAATAGCTTAACTTAATTTTTTTCTATTGTGGTATGCAACAGATATATGACACTTCCACTGCAATTAAACCAGATCTGTCATAAAAGAATATCCAAAAGATTATCCAATTGACAACCAATCCTGTAATCTCTAGGTTTGTTTTTAGGTTAACCTCATAGCCTGTATTGCTCACTTTGAGAGTTGACTAGTTTTCTTTTTTCTTCTTTAGAAAGCAAAACATTATTAATTTTTATTTACTTTTAAACGTCAAATACACAGAAACCTACTTGCCAAAGATATTGAAGAGCTACTACCAGAATAGATGGATAAACTTGGATAGATGGATAATCTATGAGTCACAGCCCCAACTCACGTAGGAGTTCATGTTTTAGACTTGATGATTGCTTGGAACAAATGTGATATATAAACGTTAACATCTGCCCTTTAATGTGGTCAGATAACATCAGTTCATGAGAACTCCTTGGATTACTGAGAAGCTCCAGGAAGTGAAACAGCAGAAGAGACACCTTTGTCTTTTCCTGATGTTGCTTTAGGTGTTTCTTCTGCTATTTCACTTCCTGGAGCACATGTAAGCTCAAGCTACACTCTTTCTGGATCTTACAAGACTGTAGCTTGAGCTTACATGTGCTAATGTCAGCGCTAAAATACGTATTACTGATCCATAGTTTGCTATTCAGTGGCCTGTTTAAAGTTATCCTTACCATATTACGTAAAGATGAGAAAAACAAAATCACTGAAATCCATTTGGAATTGGGTGCTAAGTAGGCCTATTGAGGTAACTAAGAGTGTTCTTTGCAAGGTTAATCCGGAGAGTTTGATTCTTTTGGTTCTGGGGAAGTATTGGCACAGTATTGCTTCAGAGTATTGGCTCTGCCGCTTTTGGTTTGGATGCCTGTCTTTCTGCTTGGTGAAAGTCTCCAAGGAGCTCTCAGGTGGCTGGGCCTGGGTAATGGTTAATAAACCCTTGAGAGAGGCAATAGTACTCCCTCTTGTTAGAAAGGTAGCAGTGTACCTTCTTCTTAAGAAGCTATCACTTAATCTAACTATATTGGATAACTGTTGTCCAGTCCCTAACATTCTCTTTTTAGGGAAGGATATTGGTAAGGTTGAAGAACAGTGGAGGAACTAGATTACCTAGGTGCTTTTCCATCTTATTTCAGGCCTGTAAATTAGCCTGTGGTAGTGGAAGTGTGACTCTCATGGTCTTGCTTACCTTTATATGGCTTTTGCAACCTCTGTTTATTGTAGCCTGACTTCAAGAGTTAGGCATAGGGGACATTATTTTATTGTGGTTTTCCTCCTTCCTGAAGGGGAGTTTCCAGTCGGTAGTACCAGAGACATTCCATCTTTGGTTGTACTCCCTTTTTTAGAACTGGTTCATAATTTGGCAGTCCCTCTGGACTTCCAGCTTCTGACAAAGAGCCAATGGTAAATGTGACAGGTTACATCTGATATATCAAATGATCTCAAGACTAGCAGACATTATTCTGGATCACCTGTACCGTAGCCACTTATTACTGAATTACTGCAATATATGTGGGGCTTCCCTTGAAGCTCAGAGTGATTCAGAATGGCTTGAATAATGGAGGAAACCTTACGTTTCTCCCAAGTAACATTTCTATTTCAAGAGCTGTACAGTGTGCTTGTTCTTTTCCAGGAATTATTCAAGGTTATCTTTAAAGTCCTCCATGGCTTAGAGTTGGTTATTTACAGGATTGTCTTCTTGCATGGGAGGATGAGCTGCCTCTTTTAAGAGTTGTCATTTTAGATGCTGCAGGAATGAACCTTCTCAATCCCAGATTTCATTTTTGAAGCAGCAGATTCCCAAAATTAGGTTGTCCTCCATTCTGTTAGTTTTGAGAAAGGCCATTCAAGCATGACTTTTCAAGAGCTCCTTGAGTTGGAATCAATGGTGGGATTCAATTTTTTTAACTACCAGTTCTGTGGGCAGGGCAGGGGAAGTCTACTGTAAAATCTCCAGTCAGGGGTAGTATTTGCCAGTTCTCCGAACTACTCAAAATTTCCTCTACCAGTTCTTCAGAACTGGTCAAAACCTGCTGAATACCACCTCTGGTTGGAATGGATATCAATAGTGAGCCTCTCTTGTTATGATATAATAAGATGTTTTGGCTGGTCCTTGAATATTGAAGTTATTCTACCTATATGATCCTTACTCCTTTCTGTGCTGTTGGAAACACATTTCCATGAGTCCATGCAATGTAATATTTAAACAACTGCATTCATAGGTCTCAATTCATTATAGCCACTTCATGAATATAAAATGCAAAGTGTTTTTACCTTATTAATAAAGAGACTGCAAGATGAATGTTATCAAATACACTGCTGGTTATATAATTATATATAACATGTTAGGAACATTGGGTGTATCTTTTTGAGATACAAATACTATAATTTAATTTTTTGGTCAAATAGGAATTGGGAGATATGTTTGCTGCCTTAAGTTAACTAAATATAAAGATGGGTTAAAAATCTAAGTATAGTAGCAAAATAGACATTCAGCTGTGTATAGCACTACAGTAGCACCACTCCAGTCCCATTGTGCTAGAATATTTCGTATTCAGTTATTCTCCAAAAACGGAAATGAATATTTCATTAAAATATTTTTATGTTGATATTATTCCTAATTAGGGTATAAATAAAGATGTTGGTCTAACAGGGTATTTGATTCTGCTGTCTTAAATTGGAAATATTTTGTCTCCCTCTTCTTACCTCTTTTCCACTGAGTTTTTTAGGCTGGCCAGGGAAAGTCCCATGCTTTTGTAAAAGCCAGAATTAGCAGGTGGTGTAAACATTCATGCTCCCTGATTTTCTTCTATCTAGAAGGAAATGGCTGTTTGCAAATGACCAGGAGAAGGTTGCGCATACAAACAGTAGGGGATCAGTTTGCCTTGTGGGAGCTGGGCAGTCTAGTAGTCTGAAAAAATCACAAATAATTTTGTACTTTGAATGTTTTATTGCTGGAAACTGCCTTAAGATTTGGAAAGGCACAGAGTAAATGTTTTCAATAAGTAAAAGATATTTGCAAAGTACATGATAGTTAGTTCTATTGAGGCACTGATCTTAACAAGTTAAAACTTGACAGTTCTACCCCAACTCTTTCTCTTTTTCTCCTTGATTTCAGTGTGATCCCTTAAAAAGAAAAACAAATTTAATGTGATGTTCACAGATCAACACATATTTCTTTAATTGTTTCAAACCCAATCTGAATCAGAAACTTCAGGGTCAACAATTCCACAATAGTCACTACAAAAGAACATAATGCTATTATGTTCTTAGTATGTTCTATTAAAAATCCAAAATTGTATAAATTACCTAAAATACATTTATCAGAATTGAAGTCAGTGAAATTTTGTAGACAAGGAACATTCTACATTTGGATCACCCCAGCTAATCAAGCCCTTCCCAACAGTCCTACATAATATATAGTATAAGTTATAAAGAAGAGCAGTGGTCATCAGAAGAAGTGATCTACTACTGTTCATGGAGAAAAAAAAATCTTTAGCAGAGGTCCTTCCCTTCACCTGCTGTTTGATATATTGTGTAACCAGAGATACCAGAGTTTATACCTGGGATCTTCTTACTCTGCATGCAAAATACTATAGATGTGCTATGGAGCAAGCTGGAACTAACCCTGACCTGTAGAGGAGATGTAGAAAAAATTGCTGGTCTTTATTGGTTTTTTTTTTGTATCTTTCAATATTCTGATACCATTTATGCCATATTTAGATGAGCACCATATATTGAACTATTCCAACGATTATTACGGATAACTATTCCTGTTAACCCTTCAAAAATATTTCCTTATGCTATTTTTGCTACTCAACAAATCATTACAACAAATGAATCACTACAAAATTATACTAACGAAATGCCTGAGTTTTAAGTTAAAAATGTAGAAACACAGAAAAGAGGCTCTTAATTGCATTTGAAAGGCTCATTTTCTCCTAATTTTCAACATAGGCAAATGACAGAATTTGCCAATTGCTCCCGGGTTAGGAATAATAGCTGTGGAAAACCATTTATTTCTCTCCCCAAGGAGGATCTGGAGGTGGACTATAGTCTTAATATGGAAAGGAATAAGGGGCACCATAGGAAGAATTGTGGCAGATAAGTGGGACCAGGTTATTTTTGGATTTGCGAGATGGGTTAGGATGCTGCAACTGGTTTCATGTTATTTTAAGACTTTTATGGCTTATATTGCAGTTTGCTTTCTCATTTTAAAATGCCATTGATGTTGAGTTAGAAGGGAGTTAAAAAGATGTGGGTCCCCAGATTGTCCATCCTGCTTCTAGAGATAGTCCAGAAATATCCATGCATTCAAGTCCATTTCCTTTTCACAGCTGAAATCTTTCAAACAAGATCCAAGCTCAGCATTGATGCAAGAGAAGCTAGTCAAATATTGCAAGATGACAGATGAGCCGATTAAAGAGATCTTGGGGAGTTCCAAATGTCCTCAGTGTACAACACAGGAGAAAAGCAACAACAATGACCACAGGGTAATAGCTGTACCTTTGGTGAGTGAATGCCAACTGACGGCTGCTACAGGGGGAGCTGAACTCTCCTGTTACCGCTGTACAATCCCATTTGGGGTGGTGATCCTCATTGCTGGGGTGGTGGTCACTGCAGTGGCATATAGCTTCAACTCCCATGGATCCATCATCTCCGTGTTTGGTTTGATTCTCTTGTCATCTGGACTCTTTTTGCTGGTGTCAAGTGCATTATGCTGGAAAATCCGTCAGCACCACAAGAAGACCAAGAGACGTGAAAGCCAGACAGTTCTAGTGGCTAATCAGAGGAACCTGTTTGCTTAAGAACTACATTTAAAAAAAAAACTTCTAAAAAAGACTGAGAGAATGCAATGGGTCACAGAGTGCACAAATCTATTTATTTTCATTTGGGCTACAGGATGTCTTTTATTAATGACAGTTTGGATTTATCAATGTTAAGTAAACAGTTCTTGCAAAATCAGGAATAATTGGTATCCATTTTATCATAAAGATATTTCAAGATGCATCAGGTTTAGTAGTTTCTTCCATTTAGTCTCATATCGGCATTTACCCCTCTCTCCATTTATGTTATAAACATAAAAGCAAGACAAGCTAAACTGAGAAAACTTATAGTCAAAGATAGCAGTAAGCAATTGAAAATGTATATATGCCCATAAGAACAAGGTAATTCTTTGTTAACAGCTATATCTTTTCATAGAATTATTTGTTTCAAGTATATATATGTAACAAGAGCTTATCTTGAATTACTTTCCTGAGAAGCAACTTTTGACAGCGATTGGGAAGAGGAGCCTGTGAACAATTCTATTATGGCTAATAGTTGCAAATAAATCTGTGTCACTGTAGTAGTTAATAATTCTATATTTTTCTTTCCTATAAAAGGCAGGAAAGCACCTAAACTTTAGCTGTTCTTCCACTCCAGATTCCCCTTGAAAAATGAGTTTCTACCTGTTGTTTACCTTTGTGTGGAACAAAGAGGTTCTGCCTCAGTACCATCTCCCAAACTGAAAATAACAATTTCATTGCATGCTTCATTGATTAGCATGTTTCCTTGATTTACAGAGGGCTGCAAATAAAGCAGTTCCCTTTTTCTTCTACATCCATTTGGCAAAACCATCTTGAAATGTTATTTGCCTCCCTGTCCTTATGCATTGCCTCTGCTTACTGCCTTCCTCCTCCTCAGCTCCGTCTTCTGCACCGAAGATTTTTGTTGTACTCCAAGCTATTCTGGATGCTTGGATAATATTGGAAACAGGAAATGTCAGGAAAATTGAGAAGACAATCAGAAAACACCTAAAAGTGCCAAAAGCCTGCTCATGGCTTTCTCCTCCAATTTTGTGGCATTATGTTTTCAATAGATGAAAAGTTCATATACATATTTCATCGACTTAATTTTTTAAGGCCTACAGTAGCTGAATTTTCTCAATCACTTCTTTACTCTTGTTTTGTTCCTAAGAAATGTATGGTACTTTTTCAAGAGAAATACTGAACTTTTTAAAATTTTGGGTGCTCAGGGGAGGGGGATTAATACTTAGACACAAGTTAATCTCTATGTTTATTAGCCCAAAGTAAAGAACAAAATATCTGTATAGCTAAAAGTGTCCTTTTTTTTCTATAAATTTCATTATTATAATGCTCTCATACTTAGCACTTTGGGGTGGTTTTGATATTTTTTTAACGAACCGTTCATTTTAAAAATAATAAACTATTTCTGCTGCTAGAGCTTCACAAGGTTTAGTTATTTCCATTCTGATCTGGTACAGGGAATCCTTAACTTACGACCACAATTGAGCACAAAATTTATGTTGCTCAGTGAGAAATTTGTTAAGGGAGTTTTGCCCCATTTTATGACTTTTCTTGCCACATTTATTAACTGAATCACTGTAGTTGTTAAATTAGTAAACAATTGTTAAGTGAATCTGGCTTCCCCATTGACTTTGCTTGTCAGAAGGTTGCAAAAGGTGATCCTGGGACACAGCCATGGTCATAAATGTGAGTCAGACGTCAAACATCTGAATATCAATCACATGACCATGGGGATGCTACAATAGTCAAAAGTGTGAAAATGGTCGTAAGTCACTTTTTCCAGTGCCATTGTTAACTTCAAATGGTCACTAAATGAACTGTTGTAAGTCAAGGATTACCTGTACTGATCCATCTCAGAAGACCAGTATGGATACAAGTGATACAAATGCAGAGACAGCTTTGATGTGTTTTGTTCATCCCTGCCCCACTGAAATTTTAAGGAACACATGCAACTAGAGAGGAAGAATATTGAACAATGCAGAAGGAACCTTTATCCAGTCCCTGAAAGCTTGTGCAATTATTGATTATTAAGTGCAGTTGAACCTCTAAAAGTTTGCTAATGTTGAAATGTCTCTTCTGCATCTTCATTTAAGAAATGTATGGGGCAGTGTATGCAAAAAATATGTTAAAAAGTAAAATACAATAAAAGATCCTATGAACCAAGCCTAAAGGAGTAAAATTTCAAAAAGCTGAAATCAAACACAAAATGATAACATGTATATACAAATTAAATGCATTAAATGCAAATAAAATGTTCTGGCATGTTGTTGAATTGAATTCAGAGTACATGCCAGCCATGTTTCACTGGTAAGCCAAGTGATGCGGTGGCTGTGCTTTCACAGCACCTAGTAACTGCAGGGGTCTGGATGGGGGACAACAGGCTTCTACTGAACTCCAAAGGATGGAGTCTTTGGATCCAGAGGTTTATCTTTAGTTGTGGATGGAGTGGCACTTCTCCAAACAGACCTGATGTGCAACTCTGGGACTTTCCTAGACTCATGACTCCTGCTCAGAGAGTAGATGGTCGTCATGGTTAGAAGAACCTTTACACAATTTTGGATTATGCACCAACTGTACCCCTTGTCTGGATTGTGAGGCCCTGCGCTCAGTCACGCATGTTCTGGTCATCTCCCATTTGGATCATGCATTCTACATGGAGCTACCCTTGAAGAGTGTTCAGAAGCTACAATTGTTCCAGAATGCAGCAGTACAGACCGTTTTGAGGCTCCTAGGATAGCACACATAACATCACGCTGCACTGGCTGCTGATCTGCTTTCAGCTAATTCATGGTGTTGAATTAATTCTCTTTAAAACCCTTTATGGCATAGGCCCATGATATCTGAGGAGCCATCTTTCCTCAGTGGGATTGGCCCATTCTCCACACGCTAGTAAAATATCCTATTGCAGACCCCATCAGCCAAGGAATTCCAGCTGCGAGGTTGGGTCCAGGAGAAGAATCTTTTCTGCCTCTAGCTTTTGAACATCTTGCCACTGGAGGTGAGATCTATCCCCCCCCTCTCCTGGCCTTCAGGAAATGCTTTAAAATTTGGCTATGTCGGTTGGCATAAGAGAAGCTGTTGGCTGGAGGTAACTAGTATAGTAACAGAGAAGCTCTGCCTAATTTCATATATCCTCAACCTAATTTCAACAGCCTCTTGCAGGAACAAAATTCAGACTTTGGATAAGGGATTTCAACTTTCCCCCAGGGGCCTTCTCTCTAGGAGTAAAAAAGCAAAAGGGCAATAGAGAGACTGAAAAAGGATGCCAGAAAAATGACGGCCCTGCTTCAATCACTGTTGCTTTGCCATTGAGCTCCACTGATGCAATCTGACTCACAACCAGGCTGTGCTTGCAGAGATGTGTTGCTTGGTCAAAAAGAATTGTCCCCCAAAATACAAAGGATGAACCTTAGAGACATTATAAGTTCTTGTAAGTTGTACCCCAAAACAACACTTGAGGTGAGGGACAAAGTTGGTCTCGGAATTCTGTTTCTTCTATCTCTCTACATGTCAAAGAAGCTATAATTTGGGGTTTGTCCAGGACTTGAGTGAAAGCATCTCAGCCTATTTCCAGTGTTAAGACTCAGTTCTGTGGCATGTTAGCATGTTAAGTAGTAACAACAGAGTCTATCCGATCATGTTCAAAGTGTCATTCCTTCCTCAGTGTGTAAGATGCATCTGGGAATAGACTGAAAGTTTCCAAACCAAAGGATGTGACTTGGGCCATGACATCCTGCACTTTAAGAATCTAATAGGAAAAAAGATCCAAATTGTTTTCGAAATTGGCCATTGTAGTCCTACATTTTAAAGATAGAGCCATGTAGTTGATTAAGAATCTGCTCTCCTACAGATGGAAGCAAACCTGTGGCTCAGTTGTGAATACAACTGGACTGTCCTATTTTTGGTCCAATAGAATTTGCTTGTAAGCAAATAGGAATAGGATTGCAACTTTTAAATTACAACAAATGCTGTAATGGTCTGTGTCTAGAGAGATGTAAAATCAAGCCCCAGAAATTTCCTCTCAGAATATTATTGGCTTTCTCCAGATGAAGGAACGGTGGAGGTACATCATTGCATGAATAACCCCAACCCTTCTGTTAAAAATGTGCACATGGAAACAGTGTTCACAACGGAGACCCTAGCCTTCTAAAGTGCAAGCTGTGATTTAAATAGAGCAGCAGTTATACATATGGGAGGGGATGTTTAGACTCAGTATTTGTGTTGCTACACTCCACAGTTACCAGACACTATAATAAAATCACTTGCATCAGAGGAAAGCTGACCACACATTTTAGCACTTTTCATAGCTCGAACTTAATCACGGCAGGAAGCTTTCCTGCTACTGGGGGAACATATTGCGTCACTAGAACATCTGACACGGGTATCTTATGTCAATCACTTTGCTTAAGGTCATTAAAAATATTAGGGGGTGTTCTCTTACAATATAAAGCTGTGGCACAGAGTGACAATTAGCAGGACATACAGCAATGCTAAATCAGTGGACAGAGGATTTAAAAACCCACTATTATTCAGAATGAGGGCAGTGGTTAACATCTGCAAGGCAGAGGGGGTCAGTCCCATACTAAAGCAATAATTCTGATCAAGCTTCAACTAGGGAAACAAAGACAGCATATTCTGGCTGTAATATACTTATTTTTTTCCCTGCTGGAATTTTGTTTAGCCCAGCAATTTGACTGGGTGTATTGTAAAATTCAGGTGCACTGAAACACCAGCCAACCATCTGAACAGCACGTGAGTATAGAAGACAGAAATAATTTTCCCAAGGATGATATTATAGAGTTAGCCTTTTTTTTTTGACCCAAACTTTCAGCTCAATATCATTTAAGGCTTTTTCAGGTTTGGATCAGGTTTCAAACTCTCAATGACATAGTGGGCCAAGGGTTATTGAACAAGAACCCTTATGCAGACATGTATAACAGACGGTAGCTCTTTTGCAATATGTATGTCCTGTTCATTGTCACTCTGTGCCACAGCTTTATATTGTAAGAGCATACCCCTTAATATTTTAATGACCCTAAGCAAAGTGATCTCTTATAGGCCATTTATTTAGGCAAAATGAGTATAAGAAGCATAATTCAACAAAAAATGAATTAGGGAGGGATGATTGCTGGAAATGAAATAGCTTTCTATGTACTGGTGGGCTTGCTCAGGAAGAGCAAATGGGATTTCTTTTTCAGATGTCCTTCAATTCTTTGTGAATGTTCCCTTGTTTGTTGACTTTAGTTTCATGGAGACATAATGAGTAAAGGGCAAAAATAACTACTTGGTGTATCTTTTGATTGGTTGGACTAGAGCTGTCAATCTGGAAATATTCCAACTGCCCACCTCAATGGGGCTATCATAGGAGTACTCCCAAAACAAAATGGTGGAGGGAATAACATCAACAATCTTTAAAAGTATCCCCAAATTATACATTATTTATCCATGCTCAATTATTAATTTCTACATCTACATCTCCATGTATGCCAAATGATATTAACTTGTTTTCATATTGATTCCACTAGGATATCTCTGGTTCAGTGCACAATTCACCAAATGGACAGAGCCATATACTATGAAGAAAAGTCCACCCTGCTTCCATTTAGGAATCAAATATTCTAAAACAGAACCTCCCCTGCATTGGATAAAGCTGGGTTATCAGAAAGATTTCCTCTACTCTCCTAAAACAATCAGAGATGAGCATTCCCACTCAGTTAGATTCCCTTTCTGTCTCAAGAGCTCACTTTGTGAATTAAATTAACAGCTTTCCTGAAAAACTGGCTCATGACATGATTTCCTTGTGAACTCCATCCACCTGTCATGTCAGAGCTTGGAAAGCTGCCAGAATTGGCAGGAAATAATAGGCAGCAGGATACTGGTGTGTGTCAATGGCCCTGACCCTCCCATTCCTGAACATGAATAAGTTTGATGCTTGCAAGGCGTCAGAGCCCATCAGCTTCTGGATTCACAGAAGCCTATGGGTGGGATGCACAGCTCTTGAAATAACATCCAGCCAGTAGAAAGCTTTACAGCTTGGGAAGCAGAAGGGGCTGCATTCTCTTTGGCTGGAATTCCCATACATCCCTTTGTTCTTTGGCTTAATAAGATTCCGACTGGTTCTAATTGAAGAACGAAACACAATCCTAATGTGAGCGGTTGCTTGACAAGCTAAAATAAAAGTTCACCCAAGGGAAACATGAAAGCAGTGGTTCATAATTTCCACCTTTCAAAACATTTCTTTAAAAGGAAATGCGGTCAGTTGGGATGCTGAAAAATACCCACATGGAAATTTATTTCCCATTGATCGGTGAGTGGGTTTAAAAAGAAAAAAACAAGTCATCAATTTGATTACATTTAGTGAATGAAATTCTTTACTAGGGTGAAGCATTTCCTGAGTACTACAGTTCACATATCGTGGTATCTATGCCTTCAGAATAAATATGGTATCTCACATATGTTGTGGCAATAGATCATTGATAGAATTTATTGTAATTATGGTGCAATAGTCAATCCAAGGTTTCTGATGACATGTATCTGCAAAAAAGGTGCCATTCTTGTTTCTAACTAATGTATA